CAGTTATGAGCTCGTTCATGATGGTTGTTAAGAAATGTTAGTTGGGAAGCTCTAAAAAGAAAATGTTGGGAAGATAGCATGTAGTGGAAACTTGGTGTGCTCCAGATCAGGCCGACTGGGATCTGAATTCTAACTCTACCATATTAGCTAGGAGATCACAGGCAAAATATTCTGTGCCTGTAGGCTTTCTCAAGGAGTTCTTTGGTGGGACAAAAGGTTAGGCATTTGATGGCTAACTGAAAGATGGGTGGATTGAGGTGCTTCTGAAGAAAGACCTGTTCTCTACTTCTGGAAGATCACAGCCTTGAAAACCCTGTGTGTGGTACACAGATCTGCTCTGCAATATGTGGGTCACTGCACATCTGAATTGACTCACCAGAACTGGTTTTCTCAACTACAAAATATTATCTCATGGGATTGATAGGATATGGAACCCCTGGGAAGGGTTGCTATTAATTCTACAGGGATACTCCTAGGAGTTTGTGAAATCAAATTGAAATTTGAAAGAATAGTGTCTGGGCTTCTGGTTTTGGAAGTGTGACACCGCTTTGCTTCTTTGGTCTTGACTGCGAAGATTTACCTCTGGGAATTGGAGGAAGTCACTTCCAAAGCAGTAGTGTGAATACATTGTGTGGTTGGCATTGAAGGAACACTGGCAAGTGAAAATTGAGGAGCTGATCTATACTTCCTTATACTCACCCTCCCTTAAAAAAAAAGAAAAGAAAGCACTTTTTAAATTTTCTTTTTTACTTCAAATAGCTACTCTGTGTTCTTTCAGGAGTTAGTTTAAGGAGGGCTTAGAAGGAGATTCTGATAAACGGCAGAGCCTGTGAATTTGAGTTTTCTTATTGCAATTTCCAAAGAGTGAACACTGAGAACTTAAAAATATTTTCCTTTCTTCTGGTGCCCCGAAGGGTTTTTGTTGTCACTTTTGTCCACAGCTTTCCTAGTTCAGGAGAAAGATGTCTTACAAAACAGGTATGTCTATAGAAGCAGGCAAACCAGCCGGGTGGCGTTTTTCTTCCTTACTTTCAGAATATTGAAAACTCAGATTGCTGTTTGATGTCTTCTACCCAGCCGTGTTGAATCTGACATTTTTTTTAAACATCTACACTGTTTTAGAATGTTACCACATTCTAATGTTGACTTTGTTTTCTGTGAGTAAAACACAGGAATGATGCCAACATCATCTTTGCAATTACTTAGGGATGGAGAGCAGAGTCGTACATTGCTTTAGTTTCCTTATGTCCAATTAAAAAATGTAGATAGAAAATATATCTGGTCTTCTGGGTTGTAGAAGATGACAGAGGGAAAAATTATTTTAAGGTACTTGGCTAAGTTCAGTTAATGCAATGTTTTGGGAAAATTCATTAATCTGGCCCTGGCTGATAACTAAACTTATTAGTATTAGCACAACAGTGTACTAATATAAAATTTGGTGTATTGGCTAAGATGATCCTGAGAAACAGTGGTGGAGGAAGAAAATAAGGGAGGGATAAGAAAGAGATAGATATGGTAATAGTGTTATGTCCTCATGTTACCAACTTCAAGCTCAGTGTTGGTAGTTCATGTCCTATCAAACTGCTAAGATCACTCAGACTGGCTCTGTTATTCAGACTACAGTTCTTCATCTTGCTATAAGATGGAAAAGCTATTATGGCAAGAGAGAGCATGGGGTAGGAAAAAGAAAGAAATTACAGTTTTGGGGGTTAGACACTCCTAGTGTGAATTATTCCAGTCATTCAGCTATTTTATAACATTGGGAAGGTTGCTAGAGTATCTGAGTTGTAGGTTTTGCCTCTGTAAGATGGAAATGATAATGTCTCTGGGGGGGGTTATTCAGACTAAAGATTATTGTGACGTCTATGTGTGTGAGTGAAGATGAAGGACACAGGATATGGTGGTACATCAGCTGGGTGGCACAGATGTCAGTTCTCCAAATGGTAAGGAATGGACAAGGAACAAATCTTGGATTTCTTTAATTTACTCAGATTATTTGAACTTTCAAACAAAAAAAAGAATCCATGTTTCTCAATATTATAAACTATGGTTATGAGTGTATGTGCTCACTTTAAGATTTAATTAAAATGTAATCTTGGAGAAATGATTAAGTCTCCACTTTTCTTACCTAGGTAATGTTCTAGGTAAGTATAACTTAGTACATTATCAATGTTGCACAACTGCATCCTCTATCTACTTCCAAAACATTTTCATCATATCAAGAGGAAACTTTATATCTGTTAGAATCACACCCCAGTTGTCCTTTCTCCAATTCCTGGCAAATAGGGACTTTCCTCTTCTGAATGTTTCACCTAATACGCAACCTTATTATATATCTGACATCTTTTCTTTAGATTACTAATTTTGAGATTTATCTAGGTTGTATCATGTTTTGTTTATCCATTTATCTGTTAATTCACATTTGTATTGTTTTTGTATCTTGACTGAGTACTTCTTTTGTTGAGTAATTCCTTGGAGAATTACTGGGTTATATAGTAATTTCATGCTCTTTCTCTTGGCGAACTCTCACGTTGTTTTGCATAGTTGCACCATTTTATATTTCCAGCAGCAATGCCCTAAGTTCCAATTTCTCCATATCCTCATCAATATTTATTTCTATTGCAACATACTACTTGACGTAACAAGGTGTTTCATTGAGGTTTTTATTTTCATTTCTCTGAAGGCTATTAATATTGAGGGTTTTTTCTTATGGTTGTTAGCCATTTGTATATCTTCTATAGAGAAACATCTGTTCATGTTCTTTGCCCATTTTTAGTTTGTCTTTCGGTTGTTGTAGTGTTAAGAGTACGTACTCTAGTCAGGTTATGATTTGCAAATTATTTCTCCCACTAAATTGTCTTTCTACTTTTCAAAATTATCTATTGATATAAAAAAATTTACATTTTTATAAAGCCCAATTAATTGATTGACCCTCCTTTTTTTTTGCTTTGTTTTTGTCATTTTATCTAAGAATTCACCGAGAAATTCAAAGCCATGAAGACTTACTCATAAATTTTCTTCTAAGAATTTTATAGTGCCAGCTCTTACATTCAAATCTTTGATCCATCTTGAGATAAGTTTTATATGAGATAGAGGTCAAACTTCTTTTCTGTGTGTATCATTGGTGAGTTTTCAGAGGCAGTTAATCTTATGGGAGATCTTTCTCCCGCAGAGTAGCTGGATGGTCTCAAAGTGTGTGCCTTCAGGATTGCAGTGCAGCTTCTTAAATATCCAGCTATCCTAACACCATTTGTTAAGGAAATTAGCACTTTCCCTATTGAAAAGTGGTACTTATATTAAAAACCAAATGACTGTAGATTTCTGAACTATCTTTTTTTTTTTTTTTGGCATGGATACTGATTTATATCACTACCCCAGTACCACCCTGGCTACTGGTGTCAAATAAAAAAACTTATTGCGATGGGAAAGTCTGCTGTTAGGGACCTCTCCAAAGTACTGAAGAGCAGTGGTGTCACTGGAGACTAAGGTGCATCTGATGCAGGTTATGGTCTTTACAATCACTTGTTATGCATCAGAGAGTTTGACAATGACTAGGAAGGATAGAGGGAGAATTGATACCTTTGAGCTGTGGTGCTGGAGAAGAGTATTGAATGTACCATGGACTGTCAAGAAAACAAACAGATTCATCCT